GATATGGAAATGCCCTGAGAAGGACATATTCTTCAGTTACTTCTTGTGGTTACCTAATATATCATTTTCAGTGTTTTCTTAATACTGTGGGGTATTAATATTGACTCTACAAATAAGACTATAGAATCAGAATATGACATTTATACCAAGACGCTGATAATAATTTCAGTGAAACAGCAAAATTAGCAGAAAAGGCAAACCACTGAATATTTCAGAAGAAAGGTGAAACAGAGGGATGTCCCTCAGGAAGCAGAATGGCTTCTCTAAAAAGAGTTTCTGACCCGAATTTATATTCTGTATATTTTTTCAAAACCATTTGAAAGGCCTTTCAGATGCTGCCACCTTAGCTGCTGAGATACAATCTTTTGCATTTCACCCCGTGAGTCCCCCTTTGTCCCACAATGTAACCTGATCCACCTATCACCATCAGGGGACATCTGGGATCCATCTTATCTTTCCCACCGGCTAGTTGATTAACCAGAAAATGTTTTGAATTGGATTCCTATATGGCAGGACTCCACGGACTTTATGAATTATGATAGGAACATATAAAAAGCCAGATTTTATTTTTGTGCTCTTTAAGAAGAAAACTCTTAACACGGTTAGGACTGAATTTTTAAAACTTGGAGAGAAAAAATATATTGTATGCAATGGCCAAATACAGTAATTCATGGGATTATCTGAATATTTTTAAGAAAATATTTTTTTTTCAGAGTGAAAAAGTCCTAGCTCAGTAGCCTAACCCAGAGTTGCCAATCCACAGATATATTACTGTTAGTTGGAAATAGACAAATGGCCAAGAAACATTATTTTGCTCTCTCTTGCTCTATTTCTGCTGGGTGGTACATCTGGAGACGTACGAGAGCCTGGAAGGTGGGGTCTTTAGTCCAGTGCATCCTTCCCACAGCATGTTTTATGCCAGGTCCTTGTGCCGGGGTGTATGTGTGTGTGTGGGGGGGATGTGTTTGGTTCAAATAGACATTAAACTTCCAGTGATTTTAATTGTCTTCATCATTATTACCTACGAGCCAAGTTCAGTGCCTAAACATATACATAATAATTTATTTTTTTTCTTCTTTGTTTGAATTATCCAAATTGAAAACTCTTGATTTCCTACTACTAAGGTTTTATTAGAACAGAAATCTCACATTGAATATATTCCGTACTTTCAGTATACCCTAAGGCAGTGGTAGGCAAACTGGCTTGCGAGCCGCAGTTTGCCGACCACTGCCCTAAGGAAAACCACCTGTCTTGGTCAGGACTGATGACTTGTGTGATCATAAAGCATCTCTTCAGAAGCTGACATTTCAAAGGTGGTGCCCAGGATAAGGTGCTAAACATTTTTCAAAGCAGTTAGAACATCAGCTTCTAAAGCTGACTGTTAGGAGGATCAGTGGTTTCACAGAACGCATTATATTTTAAAACTTTGTACATGGAGAAACTCTGCCGTGATGATACCCGTGGGACAAGAGTCTGTGATGACTTTGCTTGAGTTTCCACTTCTGCAGCTGGGTGATCCCAGAGGCATCGGGAGTTCAGCGAGTGTCTTGAACTATGCTTGGGATGTTTTGGATTCAACAAAAGAATCTTTTGCCAAACGCTTCTTTCCTTAATTTTTAAACGTGTATTTCAAGGGAAATTTGATTCATATGTTTCTAATTCATTTACACTTAAATCATCAAAATGTTATTTTGTAAGAGCCACTTGATGTCCAAGAAGCTTTCTAAACCTGTTTTATAAGTCTTCTCAAGTCCTTTTTCTTAAAACAGGAAGTTGCATTTTGCCAAGTACAAATAAACTCAAACAGTAAAAAGGTTCAAGTTCAGTTTCTAACTCTGAACTCCAGGTTTTAAGTGCATTCTCAAATTAGCAAAATATAGTTAGGCACCCCTACAAAAATATGGGTGGAAGGAAAGACGATAGTGATAAAAGTCAAGTTATTCACATAAATTAGTCTCAGAGATGTATCTCCAGTTGTGAAAGTTCATAAAACCTATAGCACGTGTTCTTCTAGCTAATAGGTGCAGGTGAATTTTGAACAGGAGCAGTTGTCTGCTTGTTGGTTCTCTGTGATATGTGTAAATAAGTTTACTGCTTCTGTCACAGAAAAGAAAACCAAAAGGTTCAAATATTTTAACTTCACTTTACTAATTTTACCTTTGAATCTTATGTATTTTAGTAAAGATGGGAAGACTCATATATTTTGTTGAACAAAAAGGACTCATGAGAGACCCTGTGGGCGTTTTATGTCTGCACTAAGATGATGTAACATCAAATTAAAAATGTAATTGATACTATTTTCTTGGAACTGGATAAATGCAGAAAATTCTCTCTGTGCATACCAAGACATCTCTTAATTAGATATTATCCTTATTACTGTAATGCAGAGGTAATTCAGCCTGACCCAGAATTCCCTGTAGTTGGTTCACTTGTATTTATAGATAAAGAAGGTAAAAGTAATTATGAAAGGGGCCGGGGACCACTCTAAACAATTTCCTCTATGTTTTGTTTTATTGAGTCATTTCAATATTTCTTCTGTGCTGTCAAGTGATTCTTGGGATAAAAGGTAATATGCAACTGAAAACACTTTATTTAAACACTAGAGGCCCAATGCACAAAATTCTTGCAAGGGCCTTGTCCCCCCACCACCGTGGTGGCCACCTCTGCCTTGGCCCCCGCCTGCTGCGACTTTGTCTGGAAGGAAGGACATCTGGAAGGACGTCTGGTCTAATTAGCATATTATGCTTTTATTATTATAGATTATTAATTAAACTATCCGTTCTCGTGGAAGCTCTCATGCAGTGGCCACCAGGCAAACTTGCTGACTCTATGGAATTGGTTTTATTAAACTTGCTAATAAACAAGGGGTCCCTGTAGTGTCTCAGATGAAAATTTGGGGACAAGGATGGTAGTTTGGGGGCTATGATTAGTCACAGGGTTCCTTTAGGACAGAAGCTTAGGCAGAGGTTTAGGCAGAGACTGGTAGGATTTGTCATCTAGGAAAGTTGCATTCTTGTTGTTGGAAAATCCAAAGAGTTCATGTTAAATTCATTTGTTTGTACTTTTATCTTGGAACACATGGTCTGAAAGGAGCTGGTATTGAAACACTGACAGCTAGTTGTGTTACCTGTCGAACAAATTACCTGTGTTGCGATTCAGAGCATAGTTTTGTAGGCTGTGGTTTTCATTTTATTTCTCACAACAAACAAGTAAATATCACAACAACATATAACATGCATTTATCTTTTTAAAACTTTTAATATGTAGCTCATCCTTAAGAAATTAATAAGTAGCCGAAACCGGTTTGGCTCAGTGGA